GATTTTCAGGTTATCGTTTCAACAGCATGGCTTGCGAAGGGGTCTTCAACAGCAAACAAGTCCACTTCCATTTACATTCCAAGGAAACCATCGTAACGATTTATCTGTGAGAACAATTATTATGCACATTATTTTTTAAAAAAGTGATCGTAGAAAGTGATGGAATCAAAGAAAGCTGGGCGAAAATTAAAGCAAGCATCCTAGATTCAGCAAAAGAAGCTGTAGGAGAAAGAAAAATTCTTAAAAATAAATATTTCCAAAAGCGGAAAACTCGGTGGTTCTGCGCAGAAGTGAAAGAAAAATGCAAAGAAAAAAAGAAAGCTTACTTAAGACACATGTCTAACAAAACACCACAAGAATACAACAATTACAAAAAGATAAGAAACGAAACAATAGCACTAGTAAGAAAAATTAAAAACGAACACTGGGAACGCTTCTCAAAAGAAATGGAACACGACTTTTACGGTCTACAAAAGGAAATATGGCGTTTCATAAGAGGCCAAAGATCAGAGATGTAAGACTTAATCGAATCGAAACACATAGATAACGACACATGGATTGAATACCTAAAGAAGCTTTATAATGATGAACAGCAAATGATGTTCAGCGCCAGAGCCAGAAACACCAGAAATCATTACAAACGAGGAAGTCGAGATAACCGTACAAGAAGTAAAACAAACTTTACAAAAACTGAAGAACAGAAAAGCTGCAGGTAAAGATGGAATTCCAAATGAATTATTGAAATATGGTGGAGAAGCATTAACAGAACAGCTAACAGCACTAATTAACAAAATCATCAAACATAATAAAATACCTGAAGAGTGGAAGAAAAGCGAGCTTATCCTACTATACAAGAAAGGAGATAAAAAACAACCTGAAAACTACAGAGGTATCAACTTATTAAACACCACTTTGAAGCTTACAACCAAAATATTGCAAGGCCAAATAAATCAGAGAATTACCTTAGCGGATGAACAGCAGGGTTTTCGCACAGGAAGATCGTGCACAGATGCAGTATTCATCATAAAACAGATTACCGAGAAAGCACTAGAGTATAACAGACCAGCATTCATATGTCTAATAGACCTGAAGAAAGCGTTCGATAAAGTAAAGCTTAAAGATGTAATTCACCTTCTTTACGATAGAGAAATTCCACTAAATGTTATAAAAACAATAGAGAACATTTACCAGAACAACAATATGGAAGTCAGAATAGATGACCAGCTTACAGATCCAATAGATATGGGCAATGGAATAAGACAAGGAGACTCGCTTAGTCCAACGCTATTCAATCTAATCATGGATGAAATCATCAATACTATTAATAAAGGAAGAGGATACAAAATGGGGAACAAAGAAATCAGAATACTCTGCTATGCAGATGATGCGGCTCTAATTGCATCCAATGAAGACGATCTACAAAGACTAACCCATAGATTCAACACAAGGGCAAAGGACTTTAATATGGTGATCTCTACACAGAAAACTAAAACAATTGTAATCAGTAAAGATCCAATTAGATGTAAACTGGAAATCGACGGTATCAGCATTGAGCAAGTAATGGAGACAAATTACCTAGGAATTACACTGTCTAGCTACGGAGATGTGGAAAAGGAAGTGAAAAATCAAGTACAAAAGGCTAATAAAATAGCAGGTTGTCTTAATAACACGATATGGCGCAATCCCCACATTAATACCGACGTGAAATCAAGAATTTACAAAGCAACAATAAGACCAATAATGACATACACTTCAGAGACAAGACCGGATACCTCCAAAACTCAGCAACTACTAGAAACAGCGGAGATGCGTTTACTGAGGAGAATTACAGGAAACACACTGAGGAATCGAATGAGGAGTGAAGAGATCAGAAGAAAATGCAATATACCAGAAATAAATGAGTGGACACTGAACAGAAAAAAGGAATGGAACGAACACATAAACAGAATGGAAGAGACCCGATTAGTCAGAATAGCGAGGGACAAATCACCAAAAGGTAGAAGAAGTATCGGGCGACCACGCAAAAGATGGAATGATAACCTCCAATAGAGGCATTAATCGACATTGAACAAGCATTTTGCTTATAAAAAAGAAGAAGAAGAAGAAGTATTTTTTAATTATTTCAGAATCTCTAACGCTAATTTTTACAACATTCAAATTATTTATTCGCCATTTTCTATTAAGTGATGTTTGACTATAGATTTCCTTTGGGCATACTGATATATTGGAATAATGGTCTTATTGGCATTTTTCACATTCAAATCTTAATACCCTCCATAGCTTTTGTTGACATTTGTTTTTTGTACTATGTTCTGGAAGTATAATGAAATATTCTTTAGATTTAAACCAACTTTTATTCCCACTGATAATATATATGTACATTTATGTTCATGTCATATTTTAAAACGTCGATGATATGACTTATACAGCAAGGTTTTTATAAAATTACATTTATTAAATACAAAATTCATTATCGATTTACATAATTACATATTTAAATGTGTTACAAAGCAAATATAAACAAAATAAATGAGTATCAGCAATGTTTCAAAAATACAATAGTTGGTATTTTACATCTAAAACAATATTTAATACATAAATATGGATAAAATGATAAAACAAATGGCATTTATTTATGATATCCTTGTGTGATAAACTCACTGAATAAAATGTTAAAAATTTATACACTATAAATACATAACCCTCAATAACATTTGGTTTATAGCATGGACTAATCTTTTGCAAGTCGTACAATCTAAAAATATCACATATTCCATGCTTTATTAGCAGTTTCTCTAGCAACATAACAGGGAAAATTATTTTTTCTAATAAAACGAACTAGCTATATTCTCAGTTTTAACTGTTGTGCAAATGGTTTGGCAACCATCACTGCTTAATACATTATATATATTATAGAGGAAAGTGATCTGTGATCTGGGTTGTATAACCCCCTGTTTTAACAGAGGGGATATGAGATACAGTGAAGTAGATGAGTTCACTTCCGCCATATTGGATAGCACCAAGTACTTTCTGTCAAATGTAAGTTATCGCTAAGTCCACAGTATTAATATATTACCCAAAACTATGATGAATCGGAAGAAGTTTTGGTGAAAAAAATTTATATAAAGGTATCGTAAATATAGCTTAAGGCTGTTTTAGCAGTCAAAGCACACTGCGATTTGAAGTCACGTAGGCGATAACGCGACAATGATGAGTAACACGTTTCACTATTAGATTTTAGTATTTTTTAGCAATTTTCTTTAAAGTTTGAACACGCTTTTCTCGATTATTACTGGACACAGAAAGGTGAAAAAAAATCAACGATTGCAGAAAAAAAACTCTTTCAAGCGATGGGCGTAAAAAGTTTGGTTATAATAGAACGTTAAACAGTATAATCCAATTTTTCAACAGAAGTAACAAAAAAATATAGTTTCGAATATTGTGTCCAAATTTCGAGACATTTTGTCGGTAAATAACAGTTCCTAGGTTTTGGTGCACCGATAAAACAGCCTTAAATCAATTTAAATCCGGACCTACCCGTCACCATATTGGATAGTACATAGTGTCAAATTAAGTGGTCCCATTTAGTAAATACAGAAATATCGTTTGTGTCATATCCCCTCTTTTACATATCTCTACGCCTCATGCTTTATTTCCAGGCATGTATCTCTGGTTGCCTAATTTGGTCACTGTATGCTTTCGATATGGGCCGCTTAGTTTGTAAACGAATTTTATTGAAATATCAGTGTCCAATGTGTCCAAAGGAAAATTTTATAGATCTGCCACAGGACCTTGGCAATTTGAAACTTGTTTGCTTGGTCTGTTGTTCTCTATGGAGTCTAAACAAAGACTAAATAGTTTTGGAGTCTGAATAAGTTAAATAATAACAATAGTCTGAATAAATAAGACTAAATACAGAAAAACAACTATTAAGAACGAATAAAAACCAGTTAAGTAGGTCATTAGCTACGTAACGAAAAAGCTATATTCCTCAATTGAGGCGGCAGCTAGAATAAGGACCTATAGCCCTACGGGCCCTTCTTCCGGAGAACACAAAATTGAACTCTTTCTGTTGTTCTCTGTCAGTCTATTAAATTTTTCAACGATATTACGATTTGTTTTTCAAAATACACTTTTAGTAGATAGGCCCTTCTTCTAGTTACCGCCTCAATTAATGATTAAGGGTAAAATAGAGGTATTGAAAGAAAAAACTGTCCTGGTTGCTCGTTATCAGAAACTGGACCGAACTAGGCTTTGAAGATCTTCTAAATCTTTAGATAATCAAAATTTTTATATCAAATCAAAGCCGTCGTAAGGACTAGAATGTATTGGAATCTTCACGTTGCTGGTTCACTGCTAACATTCTTGTAATAATAAATAATCCAGATCAGATAAAGGACATGTTAAAAAGTACCTTAATAAAAAAATATGAAAAATTCAAATACATTATCTGTTCACAACAACATTCATATACAACGTGGAAACTTCAGGAGAGAAGAAATGGAGTAAGGAGATGCATTTAATGGTTAAATAACTTGAGAGCTTAGTTTTGATATTATTTCGATGACTTGTTTAGGGCGGTAGCATCAAGATAAGATTTTTATAATGCTTCAAACTTTCTAAGAGGAGATGTAACTTAAAGAAAGAAAATACTAGACAAAGGACTGAGATCGCTAGATTGTAACATTCATTATATTCTGTTACGTGCCACTGGCTTGTTTTTAGGCTTAATTTTTTATAATTCGATTTGGAAAATTGATTTTTTAACAATACGAATAACGAGAACATTCGATTATATTTATTGTTAATTTCTAATTTTAATTTTCACAATATATATCCAACTGCTAATCATTTTGTTTAATTATAAAACTGGGTCTTTTGTTACGAATTCGTTCATGATTGTGGCACAATACTTTATGGACACAAATAAACAATCTATGTTAAAAGGTTAAAACACGAAATGCAACTATAGCTGTCACATTAAATGGGTGTGTCTGTATAGGTTGAACATAGATTTTCAAAGAAAAACAATCAAGAAAGGATCTGATACTTAATACAAAATATTTTTAAAATTTCGTACCTAAGGCAAGTAATTAAAAACGATATGATCTTGAAAACTTATAGGTGAGTAATTACAATATAGTAAATATTTCTAAAATCTTCAAGGAACTTTGTGTAGTAAATTAATACCACAGATAGAGAGTCGGATAGTTAGCAACGTTGTTGTTGTTTAGACCCTTCAATAGTTCGATACCGTTGGGACTTATACGTCCACGATATATTTATTTCCACAGTAAATAATGTTTATAAATATATTTAAAATGGTTCAATATGACACAATTTCGTATTACGACCCAGTAATGTGTGTATAATGTGTTATATATGTTGTATAACCATAATAGAACAAAAAAGCTTAATAAAATATCTAAAATTCGTATTGAAATGATTAAGTAATTTTTGAATATTTATATATTGAGAAATAATTGTATTCCCATATAAAATGAAACATATATTATAGATAAAAATAGAAATATTTAAGTAGATAGGCAGGGAAATTTCATGTAGAATATAAAGAATATTAATAAGTTTTCCCTTATTGAAGCGATATGAATATCTAATAATAGACAAAATTACCAGTAGGTAATATATATGTGATTAGTGTTGCTAGAGGATTATATGTCTTAGATGTATTTGACATAGAAAACCACAGAAAGACCACAAGGTTTTTAGAGTACGTGCTACAGTAACACATTTTGTACAAAATAATTTTTCCTACCAATAGCACCATTTTAGTAACAGTCTCTGCAATAATTCATGTATATCCTCATACATAAACTTCTCTCTTTTTCGAAGCGTTCTCGACAACACTCTGTGAGGATATTTTTCTTATTCTGTCAGCTGTTAGGGTTGTACCGAGAGATGCAAGGGAATTTGGCGCTGAAGCACTGGGACTCAAGGAATGCTCTTCCTTAGAACTAGCGGAGCTTTGAGTATCAGTTTTTCTTTGAGCTACTGGTGTTGATAGATTGGGCAATCCATCGAAATTGCTCAAAGCAACTGTATCTGTATCAGTTTCGGCTGAGGGTAGATCTAGAGACTTGTTGGAGGTAACTGAAGCTGTTGTGTTAGAAGCTATCGATCCCTTTGAAGCGTGGGATGCATCTGATGCTGGGGAATCATTGTTTCTTCTATTGATCGTCGGTATTTCTTCTTCCGATTGTACTTCTGTGAGCGTGAGGGGTTGGTGTGGTGTCACTGGTGATTTAACAGGTGCTTCGAAAGCCTAAAATGAATTACCAAACATTATTAAATGGATTTTTTTATCTAAAAAGACACAACTATTCAAAGAACTATTGTGCAAAAATGTTAAAAATTTCAAAATCCGTCAACACTGTAGAATGTGTTGTCCATTAAAAATGAATACACAGTTTGGTGAAAACCTTTATGTGAAGAATTACTGAGAGTTAATATATTGACTATTTTATTGTAACATTTTATTCCAATATATTTGGAAAATATATTTGCAATATTATTTGGAAAATTAAAAGGCTAGGTAGTGTTAAAATGTTAGACTTCTTAAATAGTGGCTTGCAACTATATGAAAATGGAACACCATACATACTTCTTTGTACTGTATACCAGTACAAAGCGGAGTCAGACAGGGTGACTCGCTAAACCCACTTCTCTTTAATATAATAATGGATGAAATAATACAAGTAGTACGTAAAGGTCATGATTAAAGAATGGGGAACAAAGAATTCCAAATATTATGTTATGCAGACGACGCCGCATTAATCGCCGAGACAGAAGACGAGCTCCAAAGATTAACACATATCTTCAGTACAACAGCCAAGAAATACAATTTGATAATATCAGTAAAAAAACCAAATTTATGACAACTAAATACCCACTACGATGTAAAATCGAAATAGATGGGAAAATAAATCGAAGGTAGGAGGAGGAAGGTAGGAAAGAATGGACAGGACTACACAATACAGGCGAGCAAGAACAGAATTCTAGTAATGAGATAGTCGCCTACGCACTTTGGTGTATGGCATGTTAAGAAGAAGAACAAGGGAAAATAAAGCAGGAAGCAAGGTTTAGATATCTGGGAATAGATAATATAACTAGTTACCTACGAAGTTGTTGAAGAAGAAGTACGACAACAAAGCTTAAAAGCAAGTAAAGCGGCAGGATCTCTTAATGACACAATCTGGAAGAACAAACACCTAAGACAAGATACAAAAACAAGAATCTATAAAGCAACAATTAGACCAATATTAACATACACGGCGGAGACAAAACCTAACACATTTAAAACGAAACAACTACTAGAAACAACTGAGATGAAAATACTTCTGACGAATATCAGGGAAAAGTCTGTTGGATAGGGAGAGAAGCGAAAACAGAAGATCATGCGATATAGAAGACATGAATGGATGGGTGATAAAACGGAAACAGGAGTGGAACCAACACATTAGTAGAATGGCAGAGGATAGGATAGTACAAATAGCACGAGATAAGTCACCAAATGGATGAAGAAGTATTGGCAGACCAAGAAAAGATGGTGTGAAAATAAACAATTTAGGAGGCTAATATTGAAGCAGAATCAGGTTTAAAGCCTACATACAAGAAGGAAGAAGAAGAAGGGAGAAAAAAAATCACAATTTTCTTGTCGCATTTTAATTTAATTGTTTACTTTATAACTGTTTTACTTACCTGTATAAACGCAGGACTTCTCAGAGTTTGTTGATCGAATGCTCTTGCCAGTAACGGACTGTTGGGATGCGACGCCAACTGGAGAGACGTAAGCTGTGAAACAGTCATAGGTACACTAACTGGTGTGGTAAGGACCGGGCCGAGCCCAGGGGAAAGTATAGCTTGTGCTAGTGCAGCAGTGCCGGGTTGATTGGGGTGCAACGTGTTGTTCACCGAACCAGTGCCGTCGAGTTCTTGGATTGGTGATAGAACCACCTAATATGAATATAAACATGTGGTGTTAATATCTTAGCAATTCATAATAATAGATGTAAACAGAATGCACGCCTAGTGCCATGCAAGCCTAGTGTAATGAAATTAAAAAAAAGATTCATAATTAGTTGCTTTACCTGTACAAGCGGAACATCAACGGAAGGGTAGGAAGGATACCCTGCTGGCAACTGTTGTGACATTAGTGTCAGTCCAGACATTTGATTTTGGATGTTACTTGCGCTTTGTGTTAGCTTATTTTCTCGCTCTAAAACTTCTTTCGTTACGTCGGGAGTAGGAATTCGAGGTCGATTCTTGACAGGTATTCCTGTAGTTTCTAAAAATAAAAATAAAATATGTTATGCCAGGTTTCTACTGAAGTATCTTCGAATATATTGTTTTAAATATTGGTTTAAATATATTCAAAGATATTTCCGTATATTTTAATGTACATGCACGAGTTGGAACTGATATTTGGATCAACAAGATGAGATTTGTTGTCCTTCACTGTTGTCCTAGTATGCCTATTCAAACATTTACTTTCTCTATTTCCTCTGTAGTTAATTCAACTTCACGTTGTGCCAACTTCCTAATTCTTTAATATCGTCCATTTAGCCTTGTCCATGTTAGTTTTTTTTGTATTTTTTATGTGTATTTCAAGTCGAATATCTGTAGCCTATCGTTTCAGTTGTGTTTATATGTTATAATCAAAATGAAGAGTAAAAGTGGCCTCAGGTATATTTTTGAAACATGGGAGTGTCAAGGTTGGCGCAGCCACATCTTCAGCGATATGGTGAGTGGGATTAGGAGCGACTATTTAAGGCATGTGTGTTGTCCGGAGGCGTGTCAGTCGGGAGCTGACAGCCGTGCCGAACATATCAGGAAATTCGGAGATTGGTCCACTTATAAATAAACAATTATAAATATTTGTGCATCTATTTTACTATATTTTATTCTCTTGTTTATTTTCTTCCGTAAGTAAAGAAACACTTGGGAATATTTCTACATTTTATTCTCACATTTTGCATATTTCATTTTCTTTTATATTTCTATCCTAAGTTGTTTCTTCCGTGAGTCAAGAAACACTTAGGAACATTTCTTTTGCACTATATTTTTATACCATTTGATTTATTTGATTTACTAAGCTATTCCTTCCGTAAGTCAAGGAATATTTAGATTATTTTTACCTATCTGTTTTCCATCTTTGCTCTGTTCCTTAGATCAGCGGCAAATCAGAGATGGTCAATACCCGTTCAAATTCCGGGGATAGGAAGAAGCCCGAAGAGCCGGCGATGGGTCCCACAGGCCCAAATGCCCCTCTCGGCAACATGTGAGTAGCGGAATTGGTCAGTCTTTAGCTAGCGCTCTAGGCTCCCGACTCGCAAGTGTACTAAACCTGCGAGACAACCCGGACAGAGAGATTTCCGCACTGAGGATCATACTCTGTCCTTAACCAAGCAGAATCGGCATTGTGTACTGCATAATCGAGTATTTTTTGCGTGCGAGTGTGATCGCTGACGCTGTATTGAAACGGAAGCGAGTATAAGTCTGCGTGCGATCGAATTCACATATTTGATTTGTTGATATTAATAGTACCTTTTCCTTTCTTTTATAGACGTTCGCCGGGGAGTTCCTTCGTCGAGGTATCCAGACGAGACGTAGAATTCGTTTTATTTTTATTTTATACGGCGGAGAATTTATTTTATTTTTATTTTTATTGTACATACATTAAATTAATAGACATATTTTTATTTCAACCTGTTTTACTGAGTCTGTCGTCCTGAAAGAGCTACCCGTTACAAATTGGCGCCCGAGCAGCTACCCGTTACACATGTATATAACAAATCAAAAAATATATTTTTGTTTTGTATACACGTTACCAACTTAAATTGTAATTTGTGACTAAATTAATTAATAAATGTGTATTGGAATAAATTTCCTAAGTTTTATTTGTGTTTTATAAATTATGATTGATCATATGACCTTTTTGTGTTTGGAACGTCGAAATATATTTTGACTTAATAAATGATCATCGTACGGACCTTTAAAAATCATTTAACTCGTACAAAATGAATCCTGACTATCAGCCAACAATATAGACGATAGACAAGTAGCGTATACTGAATTACATACATTTAAGCTTCAAAAAGGGGTTCTAGACAGAAAACAATAATTAGTAAATTGTTTTCTTTCATGACCGTCAGAGTAGCTGCTACCATTGTACTCTACTACTTAAGTGGGAACATATGCAGATCTTATTGGTTTTTGGATTGAAGTTTTTACACAATTTGAGCTTGACTGATAATAAAAATAACCTTGAAATCGCGACTGAATAAGGTAAACTTACTACAACGACAGTAGGGGAGAATGGGTTACAGTGAACCACTTTTTATTTGGAGTGGTGTAACTCAGGAAAAAATATGCATATATGTCTGAAATTTGGATGATGAATGCTATAAGGTACGAACTTCTGCTCTCATAAGTGAAACATGATATAACCAGATGTTTGGTACTAGTTAAAATATATATTTTTCAAAGCGTCACTTGGTTCAGTGTGCCCCCGTCCTTGTGAACAGTGAACCAGGCTAATGGGTAACAATGAACCAAATGGTGGTACAGAGAATCAGCAGGTTTCTTGGAGAAAAGAAAACGCATGATATAGCAAAACCTTTGATAACTCACTACTAGTACAAACTAGCGTATATCTATTTGAGTAAAATTTAATTTGAATGAATAGAATGACTGTTGTCGTTTAGTATTCCCACAAATAGTTGGTTTTGGTAATATCAATTTTACGTCTGACAGTGCAACCGGAGATACGTCTAAAACGTCTGGCAAACGGAATGTGTTTTCCATTTTATAGTTTCTTCTTAAAAAACTTACTTCTACTTCTTGTTCCTTGGCCTCTTGTAATACCTTAGCAACGTAATAGACTTTACCATTCTTCCCATTGAATTCAACCAACACATAGTCTCCTTCACTGGGTAATTTTTCTAATGGATTAAAAGAGTCGGAGTCATAATATTCTCCTCATCACCGCTTTCATAATAGTCTTCTACCTCAGAATGAACACTGAACGTATCTTCTTCATCTGTTGTATCTTCTGGTTCTTGAAACACTTTTTTCTTTATGGGATGCGCTTTCTTCTTTCTCTGCTTTTCTGCTTCGCGCTCCTCAATTTCCATTTTTCTGGGGTGTCCGTGGCTATCATAGATTTACCCTTTCGTCTTGGTTTTCTGGTATTTTTTCTCGGCCCAGCCTTTGGCAGCCCTCGAAATTGATCCGGAGTTACAAATTCCAAAGATATTTCAGCCTCAGAGTCAGGAGTTCTACTTCTACTATGTTCGGCTCCGACTGCCAGTGGATTTTCTGAATTGAAGATTTGGCCATCTGGAGTATTCCCATTATTTTCAGTAATGGGCCTGTTAGTAACTTCACTTGGCAAGAAGTCTATGTCGGTAAAAACATTTCTATCGTACGGGAAGATGCCGGTATTCTTAAAGGAACTACAAATATTTGACGGAGTCATTGCCTTCATATGTGCATCCCCAACGCAAGCAGCTACCTCATAAATTGTTAGAGGTTTTCCTGGATTCCGCATCATCCAACTGTCTACAGCTGCATTGTAAGCAGTTTTGAAAGGTTTATAAAGGCAAACGTCTAAGGGTTGCATCTTTCCGGTAGAATGAGGCGGAACTGTTAATATTGTCACACCATTTTCCTTTGCCAATTCAATGGCTTTTATGCAAATATGAGCTTCAAAGTTGTCCATTATCAGTAAGCTGGGGTTTTTCTTTGCTAGTGTTTGAGAATTTAATAAAGTGTTCCATCGTGTCTACAAATAGTGTGCTATTCATCCACCCAGACTGTGTCGCCAATCCTAACGTTCCGGTGGGAGCCCATTTGTCATGTGATGCTTAAAATGGACACGAGGAAAAATCATGACTGGTGGTAAAAAATTGCCGGAAGCATTGACGATACAACAGGTTGTTACTAATGTTCCCTTTTCACCACTAGTGACTTTGCTGACCTGTTTTTGTCCTTTCGCTGCGAGCACCTTTTGAGATTTTTGCACGGTCAGGGAACTAGTTTCGTCAAGATTATATATCCTAGTCCCATCAGCAAATTCGGGCTTACGTAACATAACTTCTTGTAACTTATCATAAAATATGTTCACATTATGTCGGTTAAATGACGTAGCTCGGGACAGGCTACATCCTTCAGGTGTCCTAAGGCTTAACCGGGGATGTCGCTTTCTAAAATTGTATAGCCATTCCATGCCAGCAAGCTTTCGATCATTCCATTTTTCAGGAATTTTGACGTTGTTGACTATTGCCATTTCGTAGGCCAGCTGGCGACATTCCAGCAGTGTTAACCCGTAAAACATTTGGCTACATTTTACAATATAATTGGCCAGTGCTTCTTCCTGGATGGCTGTGAAAATTTTATTCACTTCATAATTAGGAGTTAGCCGTATTGGTTCATCTGTATTTTTAAATTTTTGCAATATCTTCTAACAGTCGGATAAGGAATCCCTTTAAGTTTTGCCACACTTCTTATGCTTTGATTTTCTCTCGATATGAGGTCTAAAGCACTTCGCATCTGCTCTTCACTGTGCATGCCAATGTTTGTTTTTCTAACTCGGTTGCGTGGCATTTTGAATCTGAAACAATAAATAAACGTAATCATAAACCAAATTATGATTAATGAAATTAAATGCATACATTCTAAGGGCCGGTTGTTCGAACGCTATTCAAAAATGATCATTACCAAATATTTAATTACTGTCACCAACTGTCAATGTCAATTTTTATTGGGTTGCTGAAAACATAATCGATTACCATTATGAAATTAGTTAATCAATTATGTTAATAATTGTTATGTTAATTGATTCACTAATCTCATAATTGTACTCAATTTATTATGTTTTCAGCAACCCAATTAAAGTTGACATTGACAGTTGGTGACAGTAATTAAATATTTGATAATAATCATTGTTGATTAGCGTTCGAACAACCGGCCTTGTATAACATTTGCACAGTAAACCATTATGGGTTACAGTGAACCAGGTTCAGTGTAACCCATTCGTCAATGGTTCGCTGTTACCCACCGCCACCTATTTAACTAAAAAATTTATTTAAACAAAAATAAACTACATTGATTTGAAAGACAAGATAAACAGTATGTACAAAGACCTATTAAGTAGCTTGGAACTATAATTGATCTGAATTTACCGCCAGGCTTGGAACAAAACAAATAAATACAACAATGTGAAAAAAAGCATTCGACTTACCGTTCAGCAGATATCGAAATAAACATCTACACACTATGTTAGCTTGATGCGAACTAAAGTAGTAAGGTGTCGCGTAAAACCAGCAGATATTTGAAGAATAGAGTTGGGCGATAAAGTGCATAGGCAAAGAGTGGGGGCTGCTGGTTCACTGTGTAACATGGTTCACTGTGACCCAAGTTCCCCTATCTGTTCTTTCTCTTCATTCTTCTCTAAGGGCACTAGATAGTACCTGGTATTTTTCATAAAATATCTAAGAACACTCGTCATATGGAAATAATTTGCAACTTTCTGCAAACGAAATAGAGGTGAACTATTCCAGATTATTCTAGTACATAATAACTTGTATAATATATTAGCAGCGCTGATATTAGTTAGTTTAGTTGATAAGATATTATCATGCTGTAAACTTATAAATAAATATATTTACCTAAATTAGAACCGTCTTATTTAAAAACGCTACAATATAATATACGGACATAATATTGACATCCCGTCTACCTATTTCGCTATTTTTAGCTCGTCAGATACAGCTTGCTGATTTAGACGGGATGTTCAACATAATCCAGTAGTATAGCAGTGGTTAATTCAAAATTTTTCAACCCTTGATCTAAATCACTTTATCCCACATACTTACTTATTGGTTTCAAATTCCTGGTCCTTCCGCTTTTTCTTCCCACAAATCTGTCGGCGATTGACATTTTAGGCGGTGGCATTCCCGGCAACTGACCATTTTCAGGATTAACATCCACAGAGTATCTATGCCGGCCAAAAAGACCTCCCGAAGAATAAGCTGTCGAAGCAGATCTAATCGAGCCCATGCCTGTTCTGGATATTTGTCTAGAAAACCAGTTGCTCTTTCTTCTTTCAACTATGGGCGTATCAACACTTTCCTATTGCAAAAATAAAAATTAATTCTTTTCTGAAAATTTGAGTGTCAATAAATTACAAAAAACGAAGAAGATAGCTACATATGTTCTTCTTCTTCTTCGCATGCCATATCAGACTTATCAGACGTTGGCGATCACCATTACTAACGCTACTCGATCTTCTGCAATATGGAATAATCGTCCTGCATTTGGTATCTGAGTCCATTCACGAATGTTTTTTAAACAAGAAACTTGGTTTCTTCCTACACCTCTATGGCCCTCTGTTTTGTCTTTAAGGATCATATGTTCTTAATAAATAAAAAAATACCACAAGCATGTTTATAAATGTAATGTTGATTCAATTAAAGTATTTCGAATAAAACCTTTTGTATCTCAAAATGATGCTCAGATGACTTACACTACTTTTCCGTTTTTCTGGGAACCGGGTGGAAACTGTTTTTCGAAAAACAGTTCCCACCCGCACCTTGATGAAATCACCCCTAAGAAGAATTGCTGGCTTTCTTTTTTACTACTCCTCAGCCCGACGCTCAGTCCTTGTTTGATACTTAAATCACTATTATGTTAAAAGCCATAACGACAACCGTTTGTTTTTCTGTTTATCAGTTCCGTTTCTTCAGTTTTTCAATATTATGTGTCGTTTTGAACATTTAATATATTACATGTTTTTATGTCTGTTGGTGATTTGCTTATTGTTATAGACTTGTTCTTGTATGTCTTATTTGATCATAAAATGTCCATTCGTTGTTTATCTTTATAACATTATTTTGTTAATTAAACCCCATCTTAATTGGAGTGATCTTTTCAAATTCGTGTATTTATTTTTTTTTGTAGAACTAATCAGCTAATATTAAATATAAATTTTGCTCTAAACGCTCAACGCCTGCCCTGAGGTCGAAGAGTGTGAACAAGCAGTGGGGTTCTAGACTCTACATGTGTACTCCATCCTTTTTTTTATTAAATATAAACACAATAGCATGTACGAAACGCAAAAAAGGAAAACTCTAATATTTTCGAAAGTTATTGGCTTCTGACGAAATTGATTTGGAACTTCACTGTTGTCATTCCTCCATTTTTGTTCGTTTATAATTTCTACAAAATTCACGCACTTTTTCATAAAACTCTATCGACAAAAAGAAATAGGATTAAGATCTGGACCTCTGGATGGGTAAGAAATAGATGCATCAGCATCACTTCTAATCCTACATCCACAATACTATACGAAAATATATTCTCTAACTTTGTAATGTTATGCACTGGAGCGCCATCTTATAAAAACCACATATTTTCTGTTTTTCAGTAACTGAAATGAAATTAAAAATTAGCGGAAAATTTAAAATCTTCTAGAATATTCTTTAGTCTAAAAGGTTGATGGGAAGGTAAACAAACCGTATGAAAGTTTTTGTACTTACATAATCGGCATACATGTCCTCCGGAATTAGAGATTTCTTCGGAGTCGGACTCATTACGTTGGCATAAACAGCATCTTGAGCCTTTATTTTGTAATTTTCTGCAGAACCTTTGGGTTCTTCTCGTCGATAATGCTCAGAAGCTACTGTGTAAGGGAGTTCTTTCGGAATTATATCGTCCCAGTATTGGTCCTTCAGTAATTCAGGATGTTCTTCGTGCATTTCGTCAACAATCATGTAGGAAGCCTAAAACAACACAGGAATTAGCTTTAATCACATAATGAATCCCCTTTATGTAATTGAAAGAACTCACAAGTTTAATTAAAAATACGTTATATTTGACCTAGGATAAGGTGGAGTAATTGGATTACGATTTTACAACAAATCTGCGTTCGGCTCAGATTTTTAGTTACCTAATGATCCAAGTATCAATTTTAAACTATTTATATAAAATCATGACCTTTATTAAATACTATTTAAATGTATGGAACCTTAATTTGATTGAAAGTATTACAGTAATAATAAAATAAATAATAAAATTGTACGTACGGTGGGTCCAATTACCTCAATTAACAGGGGTAATTGAAACAGCCATCCTAAAATCTCATAAGAGCTGTAAAAATCACTGTGGGCTATCTGGGCCTAATTGCATATCTTTACACTTTTCAAAGAATTTCTCAAACAGTAATTTAAATTGAGCGAGCTTAAAACCAGACTACCAAGGCTACCCTTGAATAAGTGACTTTTGTGTCCCAGTGGTTTCAGGGTGAAACCATACTTTTTTTGTAATATTTGTTACGATTAAATTTTAATTTTCAGAAAAAGTGTTGATTTAATTGATTAAGTTTCCGAAATTTCTTTTATTTTATAAAAATGAGAGAAACAAAAAAACAATGTGGACCGCAAAGGGTTAAAGACAACCAAATGGCGTTTTATCCATCAATAATTGTTTTTTTTTTGAAAAATCTAATAAAGATTGTAATATAAAATATGTGTTATATAAGTGCCATATGTAAAGGTGGCTGAAGTCCTAAAAGGTAATGGTAATGACAGTTACCTGTTAGGACAGTTGTCATCTAGGCGCCTGTCAGTGGTAGCCGCAACACTTAGGTTAGAAGTTATGGAATGGATACACATGTGTTCTGTATTCTTGAATAAACAGCTATACTAAAGATATCTAATGTTTATTTTAATCTAATCTATCTAAATCTACAAACGTGGTTCAACACAACAACCACAAGACTTTTGACTTTAAAACTTTAATGACAGAAAAAACAGATTTGTCTTTTATAAAGTGAAGCTCTATTCAGTTTGAAAAAGAATCATAAGCTACTAGATAACTTGTACCATAACATGTGAAAATGTCAGTGCCAGTTCTTTCCCATGGATATTCTGGTAAAGGTTATGGACATAATGTTTCCCTTTGTTTCTTCGATCTAAACTTTGCACAAGATTTACATCTTTTTATATAAGTCTCTATATCAGAGCTCATTCCTGGCCAGTAAAAAATTTGCCTGGCTCCATCTTTTGATTTCTCAATGCCAATATGACCCTCACGCAACTGCCTTAACATTTCAGATCTTAAGCTTTTAGGAGCAACAATTGTATTCCCATAAAATAACAAGTTATCACAGACACATACGTTGTCTCTGAGCTTAAAAAATTATTAACTATCTGTGGAACATCACGCTTGTGTTCTGGCCATCCCTGTATGCACAAGTTTATAACAGTTTGCAATTGCTCATCTTTTTGGGTTTCTATTCTAAACTCTGATTTTCTAGTATCAGACATAGCAACGTTATTTACTACAGCATGAACTGCCAACTGAAATTCAGCATCTGACTTTAGACCTCCTTCTTGTAAAAATGCCCGAGATAATGTATCTGCAATATACAGATAATTTCCAGGTTTATATATTACATTTAAGTCATAATGCAATAGCCGTAAACGCATTATTTGCAAACGTGGAGATAATGCACATATATCTTTACGAACTATTGATTCTAGAGGTTTGTGATCACAACTAACAAGCACATTGTGACCATACACAAAATAATGAAATTTTTGAACAGCAAAAACTATTCCTAACATTTCTTTCTCAATCTGAGCATATTTTTGGTCAGTTGTGCTTAAGCTCCTAGATGCAAAGGCCACTGGATGTGGCCTCAGATCTTTACTGGCATCAGTTTCAATTTCTATTTCTTTAGATGGGTCAAAAAATGTTAGCACTGGTGATGATGTTAGCAAATGTTTTAATTGAAACAAAGATTTATCATGAATACCAGTCCAGTGCCAAGGGACATCTAATTTTGTTAGTTCTCTTAATGGAGCTGTGACGTTTGACATGTTAGGTACAAATTTGCCCAAAAACTTTGCCATTTCCAATAGTCTCATTAGATCAGATTTATTATCGGGTATTGGCATTTCTAGAATAGGTTTTACATACTTGATTTAATTCAACACCTTGTTTGGAATAAATCTGACCTAAAAATTTAACACTACTTGAATTGAATTTTTTCCTTATTGAATCTAAGGTTGTGCTTTAGGCCCCGTTCTAGTACAAGGCGAAGGTTTTGGTTATGCTCTGCTTCATTAGCACCTGTAATAATCAAATCATCAAAATATAGACCAACACCTTCAATGTCACCAAAATTTCATAGTTTTTTCTTTGAAAGACTTCTGGGGCTGAGCATATTCCAAAAGGTAAACGACAAAATTGATACCTACCGAAGGGAGTGCCAAAAGTACAATAATCTGCACTCTGATCATCAAGTTTAATTTGAAAGTACTCATCTTTCATATCCAGAACTGAAAAATACTCTTTATTACACAATTTTGCAGCAATTTCATCTGCGGTGGGTATCACAAAGTACTCTCTGATGAAACTTATAAATAGGATAAATTGATAATAAAAAAGTACATTTATTCATATTTTATGTTTTGAGCGAAAACGCCAAGTTCAGGTTTTAGTGGCAAACCAAAAGCACATAAATATTTAATTTCAACAACAATGCGAGACAACGTTAAAAAACCAAATAATTATAGTTCTATGTTCAAAATATAATAAACACGTAAACATTAATTAAAAACAAAAACAATAAACATTGTTATTGATACTAATTTGTAAGTTAGTGTAAGCACGTGGCTCTGCAAACAATAACGAATCGAAAGCGTGCAGCAACACCTGAGGGAAGGATTAAACATTTGAGACAAAAACAAAGATTAACACACCGCCGTCTATAAAAAAATCTGGTAACGATAGTGCCATTCGAGGTCAATCCTCCGTGTCTTTATGTTCCTAGTCTTCGATCTTGTTTAAGAGATGTAGTCGAGCGACTTCACTGCTCATTTATATCGGTCTTTAAGAATCATACGGGTATATATATATGTAAATGTTTCAGTAGAATATTAATTTTATGATTATTCAAGTAAATCTAATACAGGTTTAACTAACGCAAAGCTCAAGGTAAACCCATTTAGAAGTTCTATGGAATTTCTTCTTAAAAACAAAATGTGTATGCCATAAGCGTTGAATTGCACTGCACTCTTTAGAGTTTGACTCAAATTAAAAACTGTCGGACTAAGGTCTGGAGAACTAGCATGACACTTTATGGCTTATTTAACGTCTAATCCATCAGCTTAGTTGTCAAATTCAATTCAATATCAAAAGTCGTAATTAGATGTAGTTATGACTCTTTTCTATGAATGTTTTATTTATGGCAGACCACCATTTAGGAACCGCTGCTCTAGACTAAGGTCTAATCTTGTAAAACATGTTTTCATGTTGATGAGTGTTTTCCTAGCTTGTTCGATTCGTGACAGGATTTCTTTTTTTGGGCTATACTGGCTGTTTTTATTTGCTCCCAAATATTTTATGGAAGTTACCTGTTCTATTATTTGTCCCTTGGCATACAAATGTACATTTGTTGGTATCTTTGAAAATACTTTGAGATGTGACTAGTGTCTCAAGATGTGCGGTACGAGTAGCCGGTACCTAAGCTCTCTTCGCCGCCAAAATGCAGTGAAATGTGCATTTGTTTCTCGATTGTTCGCGCGCCCCTAAAACGCCGGTATAGCAATGGACAATGTGTAAAAGCGAACTCTTTCGTTAGTATTAGTGCTTGTGTAATTATTCTCTCGTTATTAAATGTGTAGATTCAAATAATTACGCTTTATTTTTCTCTAAGTACAACCCCTATTAAACCAAACACAAAGAACCAGCGCCGTGAAGTCTACTTGTATATATCGAAGGAAACACTCTTGTACAGTCCATGGTCCTAAAATTGGTACTGTACACGCACACACGAAAGGAATTTAATAAGCTTTCCCCCCAACAATCGGTGGAAATCAGAGAAAATTCCATCATGTTTGTGGTCTAAGGAAGCCTAACATTTCCCTAACATTTCGCTATGACGAACTACCGCATTTATTATATTTTGTAGTTCTTATGTGTTGCTATTAAAACGGTATCATCAGCGTACCTTATGTTGTTCTATGCTGGTTTGCGTTAATTTTGATTCCACCTTGAACCTCGTCTAATGCTTTTCTTAATATAGATTCCGAATACAGATTAAATAATAGCGGTGACAAGACGCAACCTTGTTGCACTCCTCGTCGCATTCTTATATCTTAGGATATGACGATGAGATAATTCGCAAGTTTTGTTTGTTAATTCTAGTTGTTCTCAGAATTTCGATCATCTTTTGATGGTTAACCCAAGCAAAAGGCTTTTCGATAATCAATAAAACATGCAAATACTTCTACATTTATGGCTCTGCATCGTTGTGTTAACATATTTACGGCAAAAACAACTTCTTGTGTTCCAAGTCCATTTCGAAATCCGAATTGAGTGTCACTCATCTGAAACTCACTTCTTCTTCTTCTTCTTCTTTTGGCATCATAACTCTGGATGGGTCTTTGCCTGTCTGGCTATGTCCTTCCATTCAGATCTCTCTTGTGCCCTTCTTCTCCATTGCCTTATGTTCATTGTAAACTCACACTTCTCGTAAATTCAGTTGTTCAATTTCTATACATTTAGTTGACATCCAGTTTTCTTTAGCTTCGCTGCACTTTTTTCTAATAATTTTATTGACTCGTTTGTATTCGATTGGGTCTGTTTTATGTTTTTGTCTTACGTCCATGAGGTCCATGATCTCTTGTGTTATCCATTTTTGTTTTCTGTTGTTGTTCGTGAACCCGATGTCGTCTTCTTGTATCTTTGTTATTTTTGTTTTTAGAGCAGTGAGTTCTTCATTGTGGCCTCTTCGCTACCAGCCATTAGTACCCCGGGATCTAAATTTGCACGGCTGACAACCATGAATTTAGTTTTCTTAATATTAAGGTCTAGTCCGTATGTTACGCTCACAGTTCTCACTCGGTCTAGTAAGGGTTGTAGATCATTTAAGCTGGTTGCTAGTAACACAGTGTCATAGGCGTAGCGGATATTATTGATGTATTCAAAAATTTCCTTAGAGTATATATTAAAAAGAGTCCGCGAGAGCACACAGCCTTGCCTTACTTCTCACATGATCTTCACTTGGTCAGTCAGCTGGTCTTTGACCTTGACTTGAGCACGCTGATTCCAGTATAAATTCGTGATGACCCGAATGTCCTCATCCAATCCTATTCTTTGTAGGGCGGCGAATATCTTCTGGTGCTTCTCTGAGAAGCAATTGCGCTTCTCAGAGAAGCACCAGAAGATATTCGCCGATGCAAATCGGGATGAATTGTGCAAATGAAATGAATCTGGTAGGACACGTAGCATGACAAAACAAAGACAGGTGGACGAGAAATATTGTAGATTGAAGACTACGCGAGCACAGTCGTAGTAGAGCAAGACGACAAAAAAGGTAGCTAGACGAGATTAAAGCGAAAGTAGAAAGAAACGGGCACCTAATAGCACAAAACAGAGAAGAGTGGAGAACTTACGGAGAGGCCTTTGTCCAGGAGTGAATGCAAACAGTGTAATGTAAACATAGCAAGAAAATAAAGAATAGAAAAAAATACGGGCTAGTAGCATAAGGGAAAATAATAATCATTTTAGTAATTATTATATATTCCAAATTAAATAAAGAATAAATTGAATACAGTAACATATCCATTTTAAATTATACAAAGAATAACAATTGACCTAGTTTGACACAAGCCCGAATGTTTAAGAATTACGAAATCTGAAGACCTTCGTAAAAATTAATACAACGAAGCGACGCACCATCGCATGTTACATTCCAACACGTGGAACAGTACAGCAGAATCAGCTAAATAAACTAGGAATGTTCGCGGGACATAAAAACTAAAAAATTGGTCAACCATCAGCAGTATCGAGGGAGCGCTCGAGGCAGTAATTGCCGGCTCCAGGAACGCTCGGACGCGGTAGCGTCGAGGGTTCAGTGAGTATCTTCGGGCAGGGCTGTCAAGACGAGAGGCGACACCAGGTGCAGATTACGCGCAATTGTTATATTTCGACGGGATATAGTTCCTTATAAGTGTTGGGTACTGGAGTTCGAAAATCGCGACAGAGCGCGGTACCTCCACAACTGAACTAAATTCTATATACTAACCCAAGTAAATTATAGTAGTACAGATTGTCACCCTTAACTTTCTTGCTAAGATCTCTTCTCGTCTCCCTTCGCGCCGAACGAATTATTATTGATTATATCTGACAGCTTGTTAACTTAATTGTAAACCACATAGTATATTCAATACATTTGTAGACTCTAAATTTGGTTTTATGTTCCTTCCGGCCGATTTAGACAGAGACCAGAAGAGTACAAAATTTCTGCTTATGCATATCTCCATCTTCTAAAGTAAGCCCATAGACTCAACTCTTTACAGGACCTGAGACCTAGAAGTCCTTAACCCCTATCCGGAAAGTCCCTACCTTCTCGTAAAGCCATGAAGGCGAACCAGCCAGTTCAGACTATTGGGACCAGTAAGCCTTGCAGCCGCTCGCAGAGATAAGCATCCTTAAGGTTCATATCGAGGATGTTCCAATGGTGACAGCGTTGTACAGTGGTGAAGATTTTCTCACCCTCTAGTTCCAGATGTTACAATAAAGGATACAAACCTCCCGCTAGTTGTATAGTGGTGACAGCGGAGCGCCCCAGTAGATGTACAACAGGCTAAAGACGAAGATAGTAGAAACTTATGGAAAAATGTAATTATGGAAGCCTATGATCAAGGCTAAAAAATGTAATTAATAATAAATAAAAGAAAAATGAACAACGAAAAATCCTCTTCCGGTCGAACAAAAATAAAAACAATAGCCAAACAAACAACACCACGTATTATTATTATTACCTTAATAATTTTGCGTTGTCATTTTTAATATTCTCCTTAACACGTCACAGAAAAATATTGTAAACATATTTATCTTCTTACCTTGATATGCCTATCGATGAGCCAATTTAGTTCGATATCGTCGTCGTCCTCACCAAAGGGATTGATCAATACTTCGGCTACTTTTAACCATCCTACGTAGAAGCAAAACTAAAAAACAAAATTAAAATGTAGTAATATGGTAAAATTATTGGAAAAAACTGTCACGATCTTGAAATATGTATATAAATATTAATACTACGTCAACTATGATAAAGTTGGACATACTTTTGGCAATGATCATCTTATAAATCAACCATCAACAAAAAATCTTTTTATTGACAACACAAATACAAGTAGTCACTAGGCCAGAGAAAAGCTCTGCTGACTATATTAAAATAAAAGATAAAGTGCTTAACGAAAGCAAGGGCAATATTTAGGGTTACCGGTGAATAGGTTCCATTTCTGAGCCCTTAAAATACCTCTTACTACCCGGACTAAATCATTAATAGACCAGCTCTCGACACCAAACTTCAGAAGAGTCAACTAAGCTGTACAACGTTTATTTGCGTATTAGGGATGTTTCAAAACTTTACGAATCTTGGAAACAGGCATGTCCAAAAAAAATGAATCCTAAAACATTAACAATTTTAATTTCGTACTGAATTCAATATACCTAATAAATAGTCCCACCATTTTACTAATGCATAAACTAGTTTGACTCTATCTTACTATGAAAACGCATTGCAGATAAATAAATGTTTTCAGTAGTGTCGGATTTCATAGTTTCCAATACCAGAAGTGTGAGACCTACCCAAAATCTAGATACACACCGCTGTCCTCAGAATCTAGTTACTAAAAAAAATTTGGGGCTAAATAGAATGCTTCCTGAGAACACCGTGTAATAGTGAATACATGGAGACAAGCAATCGCAAGATTAATTGATTATGGATAATAAACAGACAGGATTTGAGACAACAGAATAACAGAATAAAGCAGAGGAGTATTAGTAATGTCGGATATTTTTCAATGTCAATTTTTTACAAAATAGACCAGGACAAAAAAAACCATTGTACTCTCTCATTGTTTTGATTCCACAGGAATTTTAATGGCTTAAATAAGACATAATCCTTTCGATTCGGAGTATTTTTGGGGGATTTTCGGGTACTGAGTGTAATTCAATAAAGCTAGTAGTAATTACTATGAATTAAATACATATTTGTTATAAAGTATGGGACCAAGTAAATATCTTTATGCCTTCTCGGATAATACTTCGGAATTGCGAACAGAAATGGAATGTTCATAAATTATATTTTGGATTCTACGATTTGTTTGGCCTATATAGGATCGAGGGCAGTCTGCTCAAGAAATTTCATAAACTAGGTATTGTTCATTTAAAATGTTGACTTTGATTGGACAAGACAGGGCAGCTTTAATGCAAGGAAGAAAAGCTTTCGTATGATGAGGATCGGAGACTTTGGGTTGATATTGAGTGGGTGTTGATATTGAGTGGTATTGATGTGATTTTTGCGGTATCCGTTTTGGGTGAGGGCTTGTTTTAAACTAGAGAGCTCGACGGTTCTACTTACATCATCGCAAAGGCGTATTGATCTGGAGACGAGGGTATCAATGACTAAATTAATTTGTGAAGGTAGATGATGAGAGTTAACGTATCTTCCATAAAAATATTGGCAATTTTTGGAGATAGTGGGGAGCTTATTAGGGCTCCATGTGTTTATCTGGAGAATTGATTTTGGAAGATGAAATAAGTGTTGGATAAAATTATTAATGAGAGATACGTGGTCTTGCTGGATACTGTATTTAGTTTGCAGAATGTTTATAGGAATGTTTGTAAAGAGTGAAACGATATCAAAACTTACTAAAATGTCTGACAGTGAGACAGAGTATTATTTAAGAAGTTCGGTGAAATGAAAAATAATTTTTGAAGAAGGATGAAGCATTTTCGAATAGAGGTTGTAGAATTTGGCCAAGTACTTGGTCAATAGTTGTGCAGTTGTATGCACTGACAATGGGACGTAGAGGAATATCGGGTTTGTGACTTTTGGGTAGGCCATACATTCAAAGTGTTCTGGAAGACACGAGGAATTAAAGATTGTTTTTATGTCAACGGGAAGATAGGTTTTATTGATAATGACTTTTGTTGTTTTCTCCAGATAGGAGAGATATTGTTGGATTATTTGGAATTTGTCTGTAGTCTGGAGTATTAATGAGATTTAAGAGTTTAATAATATAAGAAGAAGTGTTTAGAATGAGGGTGGCATTGCCTTTATCGGTAAAAATAATGACAAGAATGGATTTGAAGTGCTTTGAGGGTTTTTTCTCGGATAGATTAATGTTTCTAGTAGGACTTGTCTAGTTATTTCAGCATCTTCGGAAGGGAAACTGGAGATGGCTTCTTCAGTTTAACAGATGATTGTTTCAATTGGTATGTGACTTGGGCTAACAGAGTAATTGGAACCTTCTGCTAAAGCTTCAGTGGTAATGGTCGAAATAGAGGTATCAGAAAAATTATGAACCGCTGTAGTAAGTTTCAACGTTGTGGTTTTTTGAATTTGTTCGGCAATTAGATACGCTTTTTGCGCTTTAATTTGCACTTCTGAGTTTCAGTCTTAGATTCTAAAGTGTTTATGGCTGTCTGTGTGTTGATACGGTCGAAACTATCTCAGAAGATAGATGAATGAATAGATATTAAAATATTGATATTTGTGACATCTAGTCACACTAGTCACACTAGTCACTGAATAGTTTTTGTCTAGTGGAATGAATCGCTTCACGGAGAAGCGCAAAACTGATCTTTCTAAGAGTTTGGGAAATACAAGAAGAAGAAGTATGGTGTTTGAGTTTTAGAAATTTTAGGGACTTTATGACTTGGCCGATCTTGGCAGACTTTAAGGTATGTCAAATCACAAAGAAGACGATATTTAACTTAACTCTTAAATGTTTAATGTCATTCTATAGGTTTTTGAAAAATATGAACACCTGTTTTTTAGTTGTTTTTCTTTATAACTGTTTTTTCTAGAGTATCAAAAATGTATTTTTCCGATTAACGCGCCATCGATCAACAATTAGAAAAAAATGTCTCGAATAAAAGTTATGTATTTTTTTGTAAGGAATCCAAACCTGCAATAAAAAAATGGTCCCTATTTACGTTTTCAAAGTTACTGATAGTGATATTTTGAGAAATTGGCACTTTACCTGAATGGCTGTAAAGAATGGAAAGTACATGTCAACATGATCCCATTTTCCCAAGTCTTCTTTGTCTGCATAAGGAACGAATTGTCGTCCAAACAAAGCTGCCAGGAAATATACATATAATGCCAGTGAGACTACCTAAAAAAGAAGAAATAAAAAAAATGTGAATTAATATTTTAATATTAAAATATTAGAAACATTTACATGGGTATAAACCAGATTTACTTGAATATAACCAAAAAAACAAGAAAAATGGATATTTGCAGAAAAGCGACTATGCAAATATCTATTCATGAATGAAAAATAAAAAGACTACTTTCAGTCGCATAATATTTATGTAGATTTCATAAAGTCGTATAGCCAAGGCTTAAATGAAAAATATCGTATCCGTGAAAAGCAAAATTATTCAAAAGAAAACTATACATAGGAGTTGAACGTAATCCACTATAGTCAAAGACATGTGTTCTCTATCGACAATTTTCATCGATGAAATTTCTAAATCATCTGCAGTGGTGGTGCTAATTTTTGGATAAATAACAGTGTATGTATAGACCGTAAATCTATAGATATGGCACTATGGTTTAAACATTGTTGAATATTTTCTTCGTTTTTCTATACGGTTACTTGTATTTGGTGTCTGGATTAATTTGTCATCTGTCCAACTTCCATAATTGTATTGAAAAGACCTATTAGGTAACTCGTCATGACGAATGATACGACTTGAAACTATAGACGTAATATATTAACATACACTGAGAATACAAGCAACGAACAGTGACGACAACATCTTTTGTCGCTGTTCGATCTGTCTCTCTCTAACCCATTGAAACTCCTCATTGGCTTTCTTCCCACCAAAAAGAGACTATCTGCTATACTTACCAAAGATGGTGTTGTCACTTTGCTTTATTTATCGCTCAGTCTATGTTAATATATTACATCTATTCTTGTAACGCACTTTTGGTGTTACAATTGTCATTTGTCATTTGTCAATTGTCATTTTTCAAGCTTATTTAGAAATTTCGCAAAATAATGCAGATATCATAAGTTTCAATGCCATTAAACAAAACGATCTTCAGACGTATTTCATCAAAAATGGACCAAGCATGTCTAGGACGCCCTGTATCATAACTCACTGAACAATTTAAAGTAATTTTGTGGAAAAATTACTGACATTGAGTATTTTTCATATCTCGAGAGATGTAGATAATTACAATTGTAACTGGTTTCAAAAGTTGATTGCATATCGTCAGACAATTTAAAGTTAAATGTTGTTTATTTCAATAAATATGGTGGTTAGGACGTTTAGAGCCTATAAAGAAAAATCATTTGTAACTCTTAGCATTAAGATTTATATTTTAATTGATTTTTATTAGTATTTACATATTTGCATATTTATGTGTTCGTACTTAACTTACGCAAAAGGCAACAACGTAAAACAAGTATCTTCTAAATGCATGAATAATAATACTGAATGATTATTAAGGTGCCACACTATGATTATAGTTTGTTATTAATAGAAATTATTACCCTGGTTTACACGCAAATGAAATACAATGAAAAGGTTGTTATTAACTTTAAGATTGTTAAACAAAATCTGTATTTATAAAATGTCTAACAGGTATAAACAAAATTGCTTTGGGTTGAAGCACTTATCAGAGTTGTGGTTAAATTAAAGTAACTGTCCACTTAAGTCACTCAAATCTTCTAGACTAAGGTCTTCTTCTTCTTCTTCTTCTTTTGGTGCCTATTCGTTTCAAATATTGGCGATCATTCTGGCTATAATCATTTTATTAACTGATGCTTTAACCTCAGGTTTTTTAATTATAATATTCTTCTTCTCCCAATTCCTCGCTTTCCTAATACTTTGCCTTGAAGGATTATTTTCAGTAATTTATATTTAGTGCCGTTTCTCATTATCTGTCCGAGATATTCTAACTTTCTCCTTTTAATCGTATACATCACTTCTCTTTTTTTTTCTCCATTCTTCGTAGTACAATCTCGTTATTTATGTTGTCTGTCCATGATATCCTTAGGATTCTTCTGTACAGACACATCTCGTAGGCTTCAAGTATTTTCTCCATCGCTTCAGTGAGTGTTCAGGAATCAACTCCGTAGTATAATATCGAGAAAATATAACATCGTAGGAGTCTTACTTTTATCTCCAGATTAAGGTTGTGGTTTATAAGGAATTTGGCCATGTTGTTGAATGCACTCATAGTTTTCTTTATTCTGCATTTTACTTCTTGTAAGTAATCCCATTCTTCGTTTACTATTGTTCCAAGATAGATAAACTGTTTTACTTGGTTCACTGGTGTATTCTTGATAAGCAGCTGGACGCCTCTAATTTTATTTTTGCTGATAACCATAAATTTAGTTTTTGATATTGTTACTTGTAGCCCAAATGTTTCACTTACTTCATTTACTTTGTTTATTAGTTGCTGTAAACTGTTTAAACTGTCTGCAAAAATAACGATGTCATCTGCATAGCGGATGTTGTTTAGGCGTTCTGCATTTAAAATATTCCATGTTCGCAATTTTCCAAGGTTTCACTAAATATTTCCTCTGAATATAGCTTGAATAATATAGGTGAAAGTATACATCACCCAACAAGTCTTAACTGGAAGGAGACCATACGGACGCCCTCATCTCCGGTGGCGAGATAATATAGCAGGAGACCTAAGCACTATGGGCGTGGAGAATTGGATGGAGGTTGCTCAAGACAGAAAACAGTGAAGGCATGTTGTCGAGTCGGCTAAAACCCATGATACAAATACAAACAGATAAGATACCGCGCACGTGGGCGTGGCTTATGCATGACTTTTGTAACGTCACTTGTGCTAAATTTCGCCATATTGTGTTTTGACGTTTATGTACATTTACGGTTCATAGCCAATATTTAATAAAATAATATTTTAAAAATGTTACAAGGCTTTAAGTTTTTTCCCGATATGAGGTGTGCAGTGTATGGTTGTGCCGTTGACAATATGTGCAAGGGTTTTGTACCCGGTACAGCATTTTATAGCTTTCCAAAAGACAAGATAATGCAATCTGTTTGGAAACATTTGTGTAAACGCCAGGATAATTTTAATGTTAAATTTGCTCGTGTTTGCTCTAAGCACTTTGTTGAAAGTGATTGAAGTGATGAATCGGTCATTCAGGTTGGCAAAATATAAAACAGAAGTCAACTACTTTATAAGTTTATAGAAGACGTTTCGCTTTGTACTTAAGCTTCATCAGTTCTAACTTAATATGTAGTATTAAACAAGTTATTATATATGTACTTAAGTTTACTCATTATTTAGAACTAACTTAAAAAAAAAAACAGAAACAAAGGACACAAAAACTTCGCAAAAAATAATATTCGTAGAAACGAAGATTTAACAAAATTTTAAACGTACATTTGGCTTCATTTAGAGATGGTTCTCCAATGAAGACTAACAAAACACAAAATTTTTGTGTCCTTTGTTTCTGTTTTTTTTTTTAAGTTAGTTCTAAATAATGAGTAAACTTAAGTACATATATAATAACATCTTTAATACTACATATTGAGTTAGAACTGATGAAGCTTTAAAAATATAAAGCAAAATGTCTTCTATAAACTTATGAAGTAGTTGACTTCTGTTTTTTATTTTGCCAACCTGAACGACGATTAACCTCTGAATTCACTAGTTGAATACTTTATTTATATATATATATATATATATATATATATATATATATATATATAGTTGGAGATTAAATAATGATAACCATATTTTAGCATATCCTGAAGAAGCGAATAGAAGAAAAGAAGCGAATTTTGTGAAAGCTAATAAGAGAACAAAGAGTTTTACTTATCCTGCCCTATTAATGACTGCAACCTCAAAGAAAAATATTTATATATATATATTTATATATATATATATATATATATATATATATATATATATATATATATATATATATATATGTTGAACAATTATTCCGGGAAATATCCGTTGGTCATTTTTTAATTGCAGACGTTTCGCCAAGGTCTCACTTGGCATCTTCTGTGCGTTGTCTTCGGTCTCGTAGTCGGTAACTGAATGAGCTGCGCTCAGTTACCGACTACGAGACCGAAGACAACGCACAGAAGATGCCAAGTGAGACCTTGGCGAAACGTCTGCAATTAAAAAATGACCAACGGATATTTTCCCGGAATAATTGTTCAACATATTACTCCATCCGTGAAACACTTCAAAACTAACATATATATATATATATATATATATATAATATTATATATATATATTATACATATTATATATATATATATATATATATATATATATATATGTATATATGTATATATATGTAGGTAGGACATTAAATAGTTATAACCATATTAGCATATCCTGAAGAAGCTAATAAATGTTTGTGAAAGCTAAATAAAAGAACAAAGAGTTTTACTTATTCTGCCCTATTAATGATTGCAACCTCAAAAGAAATAGTTTACCTAAGTGTCAGTCAATAATACCAAACTACTATATATAAAATATATATTGTATGAAAATCACATTCCATAGTTTGCAATTTGTGGCTTTCGGCCATGGCTCCCTCCATCAAACTTCACTCTTATGGAAAATTGTTATTTTTTACAATATATAATTTAAATACTTAAGCTTAAATTCACGTAGTAAATAAAACATCTAGTAAATTATATTAGAATTTCAACAGTTCGTTTCATCAGCAAGCATGAATACATTTTGAAAATTTAGCACAAGGTGACGTCATGCGCGTGAGTGTACGAGTTTAATGCGTGACAATATCATATCTGGTATCCTTATATCATGGCTAAAACCCACGAAGGGTTGTAACGCCACGGAGTAAGTAAGTAAGTAAGGTTTCAGTATAAATTTTATATTATACACCGGTCTTTACCATCTATTTGGGCTTTTGTTAGAAAATCCATCATTTTTTGGCTGTTAAACTCACTGAGACCCACCTCCTGATCCTCCTTACCAGCTTATAAGATTTCACCATATCATATCGTGAAATTCATGTCCCATAACCCTATATATACAATTTTTCGAAATATATCCTTCCTATTTTTAAAAACCTTGGTGGAGGCAGGAGGCTTAAATAGTTTATTTTGAACCCGCTTGTTATTGGAATTGCAC